CTGGAAGAAAGTATTCAAATGCAGTTTTTTGAAAATTCTACAAAAATTCTACATGATAAAAAAGTCATTTATGATTTAGGTTCTTGTGGTTAAATTATATCAAATGAAAACCTTTGGTTTTAGATATTAAACATATGAAATTTCATGATTCTACAAGATCTAGGAAACTAGCAATTAAAAATTTAAAAACATGATTCAAAACACAACCAGCAAATCTTTATTGTTATTAATGTATTATTATTGATAGTTGATTTCACTTTTTTAAGTTCTAGATAGTACAAAATCATTAAATTTTATATCCACAATAAGGACCTGAGCATTGAATAATATAAATTTCATATAAAGTTCTAAGATTTCGCGAAAAATGCGTTCAACGTGATGATCTTTCTAAAAATGGATTCAATATATACAGTTGTACCTCCATATGAGAACACCATTGGTAAAAGCAAAATGTGTTCTTAACATAGAGTTGTCCTTGTATGGAGGTACGATTGTAATAATCTAATAAATCTCTACGAAATTTCAAAATTTATCTAGTAAATCAATCCTTCTCTTACTGTTATAAAAATAGTATCAAATGAAAGCTTGGAACTTATTCTTCCACTTAATGGCTGTAGATTTTTAAAATTTTTATTAAAAAATTTATTTATTTTTGTTTAAAACTTTTTTTTATAAATAAAAAATTAAAAAATAAAGCCATTGTGTTGAAGTACATGTTATTTAGTAGTTATACACTAATTTAAATAGAGGTCTATTTGAGAGTTTGAATTAACATGGTGGAAGTTTGTTTGTTACACGAAATGTTATGCAGAACCCATTTATTGCTCTTGAAACTTCACCAGTATATAGTAGTTACCTCTCTGAAACGGAAATCAAGTTCGGATCTAGTTTATCACTTAATTTTTATTGCCCAGAATGTTTGCCGTGCATTGTAAAGTTACATTGCATAATATAAAAAATTGGTGTAACATTTCATTCTACTATGCTTATTATATTGTGGTCAATTATATATTTGTATTTATACTGATGTGTAACACCCCAGCAAATGATGGCAATTATGTAAAATCAAAAAATTTGGAATAGTAAAGAATACAATGATGAATGAACCAAAAGCTGTATGGACTATTCGATCAATGATGATGAATTGTTTATAAAATGTTTGGTTTCTGTTTATTCTATTGTTTTATGAACACTACCTCAACTAGGCTGAAATATAGTGGCATTTTGGGATCATTTATAGAAGTTGGAACCGGTTGAAGTATTCCATTAACCGGTTAAAATGTAGATCACTCTTAATCCGCAATTTTTGATAAATGAAAAGAATCGACATGCATTTTAGCCAGAAGAATCTTGAATCGGTTTTTTTTTTAAATTGGTGTTGATCGCCAAAACTATTCGAAGAGGCGAAAGTCGAAAGATTAAATCAAAAGTCAATAGTCAAACATCAAAACTAGTTCGACTTATGGCGAAGCCTTTTGACTTTCACGATTCTCTAGTTTTGGAAATCAACACTGGTTAAAAATAACAAATCGTTCCACTTTAATTGTAAATCTTTTGTTTCAGTAGGTGAAATGAAGCCACATTCACATTATCGACTAAATGCAAGAGAATGGTAAGTAAAAGTGAAACACGAGTAAATTGATTTACTAACTATTAAAATGTTTGTAATTATAATTTATTGTCATCATAATTAACATATATTTGCTTTAATGTTATTATTATCTCTATTATTATTATTATTATTATTATTATATTTTATTGAAAGATAAAATAACAGTTGCTTCATAATGAGCAGCAGACATAAGAATTGTAAAGAAATTTTATCAAATGACAAATGACAACATAATTATATAGTTGTGCGATTTTTTATTTTTTATTAAAATATTTTTAAAAATTTTTTTTATATATACTTAACCGGTTAAGGCCAGCATAATAGAAGTTTGTTGCTACAAGAAATGTTATATAGAACCCATTGCTCCTGAAGCTTCACCAGTATATATTTGTTACCTCTCTAAACTGGAGATCAAGTTCAGATCCAATTCAAATCCGGTTTATCACTTACTTTTTATTGCCAAAATGTTTGCCGCGTATTGTAAAGCTACATTGCACAATATAAAAAATTAGTGTAACACTTCAAATTTCCACTATGTAGTTAAGGCCTCGGTTAACCGGTTTTTGACCAGTCCCAACCTCTAATCATTTAAGCTATTGATTCAAATACACAAGAGATAATTTGTCAAATGACGAATTATATGCATGCAAAAAGTGACAATTGGATCGAATACATAAATCATTCCAATAATATTGATTCGCCATTATGGTCAGTTGAATTATGAAATAATATTTTAAGATGAAGAAAAGAGTTTTATTTGATGAATCAAAATTATACCGGAAAACTCGTATCTCCAATATTAAAGTTCTTATGTTTAGTACATCTAGCTTAACTTCATTTCCGAAATTTTTCAAATTGAAGATGCTTATTAATTTTTAACGACTTCGATTTGAAGGTGAAGACGAAGATGAAGGAGTCTCAAGGATCATGGACATTTACCGTTAAGCGATATAATTGAAAATCATTTATCAATCACCTTTGTTTCTATTATAAAATAAAATTTATTTAATCAATAGTTTCATTGTCGCTGATTCGTATGAATATAAGTTAACAACTGAAGTTTTGTAGATTGTCAGTAAATAAGAACTGAAACCATAGAATTTGCTTTTGGCTACCAAATGGACTTATAACTTAGTATTGATGTAATAGTTAATATTGACGCAAACAACATTTTGCCAACGTGTATATCAAATAATAATAAATATTCCGGTCTTTCACCTATTGTAGAGGATCTGCCATGCAGTATAACTTCTTCTTCCTTATTATTGAAACTATCTCGTCACATGTAAGAGCATAATTCTCTAAAGGTTACTTACTATATGGAACCTGGACTGGGAAAAACCCTTTGCTGCATGCGATTTTTATATAGATATATAATTAGATCTACTGCGGTATGTATATATAAAGAGTTTAAATGGTTTTTTTTGTCAAGTAATAACTATTTGATTGGTATAATAACAGGCTAATCGGAATTTTGTGTCCGGTAAAATGTTTTCTTTGATACATATATATTAATATTAGTATTATATAGTATGCTATCTATTATATGTATCAAAAATCAAAAAAAGGATTAGATCGATAAATTAGGAATAATTTATTATCTGTTATTAGCTAGTATTGTTCTAATAAATAACTAAAATTAACGGTTACAAACAACACACGTTTGGATTTGGTCTGACCAAATTTAGAAATAACACCAAACATTCGCGGTCAAATTTGGAGATAATCATCCAATTTTAGTCTAGCTTTCGCGATCAAATTTGTTGATAAAAAGCTCTAAAAAACTTTGTCACGATAAAGTTAGAGTTTCAATCTATACAATTACAGTATTTTTTTGCAGACAATAAGATTGATAATAAAGTCGAAACTTTGTCTCTTAAAGTTCAATACCATCAATGCACACAAGATTCAACATGGCAAAATTATTTAGGTATGATAATAAAGAAAATTTATTCTTTTTCTAATTGATCATTTATAATATTTCTTTTTTAATATATTAGTAATGAATGATAACGTATAATGTTAATACATATCACAACAACAAGTTTTTGATCTGTCATTTTAAAATGAATAAACGTAAATAATAACCTACATTTGTACTACGGGCTTAAGCGATCTACGTTATACACGGATTCGGCTTTTTTGATGCGTTTTTTTTGTTTGTTTTATTTACTCCTTTTCCATTTTTTCCAATTAAAATACATGCATATAAATATGTGTATATATAGAAAAGCCTAAGAGAAATAAATTTTTTTCGTAATAATTTAACTTTTTTATTTTTATTAAAAAAATAAAAAGGAAAACCGAAGTAAGTAGGGAAAGATTTAATTCGAAACTATTATTTGTTACACGAACCTTGTTAGGGAGAAAAATTAATAATCTACCACATAACGACATGCACTTCATTGTATCAAATAAGCGAATAATCGCCTAATTTTAACGTTCAATCCCTTTAAAGAGACTTTTTAAGTTAGTAAAGATTACCAAATTCGTAATAACAATTTACTGAACATATGCATATTTTTTACACATCTATAAAATTAACAAACATAGTATTATTTATTATTATATGTTTAATAATTTCTAAAAATGTTACAGTTTGACTATTCAATTCGTGTCACTTAAAAATTTTTAAAGTATTTTTTTAACATTATTAATTATTTTTCATGTGCATATTTTTTCATTATAAAAAGATATCGAAACTTCTCACTTCGAAAAAAAATAAAACTGAAATTTATCTAAAATAATTTAATAAACAAACAAATCCCTCTAAAAAATATATTTTCTAAAAACACCCAATAATAATAATATAAAATGCCAACAAAATTAGAAAACCATCAACGTGAACAAGAAACAATGTCTTGTTCAAAAGATTATTATAATCAGAATGTGAAAGATAAAAAAAATTCAAACATCATTGATGTAACCAAAAAATCTGCTTCAAGAAGTTTTACAAAATTACGTAAAAGAATCTCTATATTTTCATCGTCCTCATCATCATCTTTATCCTCCTCATCATCATCACTTCCATCACCCGTTTCTTCAACCGGTGCTTTTATTGCATCTACAAAAAATTCAATAATTGATTTTTACGAACCTGAGTTTCTTCTCGCAAGTAGTGAAAACGAAGAAGAAAATAACATGCTAAAAACACCTTTCCAAGTTTTAAACAACCACAACGATAATAATACAAGTAATAATAATAATTATTGTATGAAAATTAAAGACAACAAGAAACACAAGGGTATATTTATAATGAAAAGCAAAGGTAATAGTGATATTAGATATGAAAAAGATTTTACAATTTTTGGACAAGAAAATCTCTATCGTCAAGAAATTTTAACAAATGAATATGAATATGAGTACGATAACAACAACAATATGGCGAATGTCGTTGGTGGTGGTGAATATAATGGCAAATATTATTATTATTACGATGATAATTATGTCGATACTGCAAAGAACCAATATAATAAAAGAAATTCAATACAATCAATAAAATTAGCGGTAAAACAATTTGCTGGAGTTGGTAAAGAACGTAAAAGGAATAACGAAGCTTATCATCAAGATGGAAAAACCAACCCTTTCGAATAATTTATAATAAGATTTCTTTTTATTTTGTGAATAGATATAAATATGTATAGAAAAAAAACCCTTAATTTCAACTACACGTGACTTCGTCAAATGTTATGATCATGCGCGTCACACATTTGTTTATACCCAAAAATAGAAGTAATCGTCATATTCATTTGATTGCGTAATGTAAATAATAAAAATTAATAAAAATTCGTTATCTATTTCTCGTAGAAAATTTCTCTGTATGGTAAAAATTCAAAATTCAAAATTAAAAAACTACAATTGTCGTACTTTCCTTTTTGTGGGATATAACCGAGGTGGATGGGGGATATGAAGGAGATAATATTTTTTAATATATAAACAATTAATTATTTTTGTGATTCAGAATTAGAAAACCGATATACAAAACGTTATCGGGATATTGTAATTTGTTACTTTTTTTTTTATTTACTTATTATTTATTATTTATGTCAATAATAATAAATATATATAAATGATAGAATTAATTTTCTCATTATAACTATCTTTTATCAATTATCGTGTAACAATTAACGATTATTAAATGATAGGGAGAGACAAATATTTGCGTAGATTTACACCCAAAATGTGTATTGTAAAGATAATAAATAAAAAATAAATTCTTTTTTTTTTTCTTTTCAAAAAAAAAATCATTTCTGAAATTTAATTTCTTGATGATAAAAAAAGTAATCGATTTTCACGCAAAATTGATTGCTTCGTTTAATTAAATAAAAACAAAACAAAAACAATTGTAATAAAACATATATAATAACTGGTTAAAAGTCATCAGTCAAAAAATTATATTTATATTTATTTATAAATCTTTACTTTCAATTATCATCTATCATCATCTATCATCATCCATCGCTTCATTCCCTCTCCCTACTTCGCAATTATTTAGAAATCGTTCATTTTTATAATTATTTCTACATTAATTTCATCACATCATCTCATATTCATCATTTCATCATCTTCTAATTTCAGCTTGAGGATGTCCATAAAAAATTCCATATATTAAAATAACAATCACATTTTTGTATTCATTATTCAAAATTTCCAAAAAAAAAAATTTTTTAATAATTAATTATCTTTGATGATATATAAGCATCATAATTATAATAACAATAACAACAACAACAACAATAATAACAATTGGTATATATAATGGCAGATAATAGTACTACAGCTGTTTCAACAAGGTATCAACCAGGAGATGTAGGTTGGGTTGCCATATCGACTGCTCTTGTGTGGATTATGATTCCTGGTGTTGGTTTTTTCTATAGTGGTATGGCAAGAAATAAAAATGCCTTATCACTTATCATGTTATGTTTTTTATGTATTCCAGTTGTATCAGTTCAGGTAGTTTTCTTTTTTATTTTTTTGAATAAAATTCTTTACTCGTTTAATAAAAAATTTGATAATGATTTTTATTATGTATATATATATATATAGTGGTTTATGATTGGCTATAGTTTAACGTTTAGTGAGAACGGTGGCGCATTTATTGGAGATTTACGAAAGGCGTTTTTTCTTAATATTAATGATAATCCATCACCTTCATCTGAAGGAATTCCTGAATTGGCTTTCGCCATATATCAAGGAATGTTCGCTGCGATCACCCCTGCATTAGCAATTGGAGCTGCTGCTGAAAGAACTCGTACCATACCGCTTCTTATATTCATATTTATATGGAGTACTTTGGTTTATGATGTTATAGCATGTTGGTGTTGGTCAAGACATGGTTGGTTCTCAACCTTGGGCGGCCTAGATTTTGCCGGTGGTACTCCTGTTCACATCACTTCTGGTGCCGCTGCTCTTGCTTATTGTATCGTGATCGGTAAACGTAATGGTCATGGCAGCGATGAATTTAAACCGCATAATATAGCAAATGTTGTATTAGGAACTGTCCTACTTTGGTTCGGTTGGTTCGGTTTCAATGGTGGAAGTGCGCTAGGTGCTAATCTCAGAGCCATATCAGCTATGACGGTATCAAACTTGGCTGCATCAATTGGTGGACTTACCTGGATGTTGATGGACTATAGACTCGAGAGAAAATTTTCTGCTCTAGGTTTTTGCTCTGGTGCAATAGCTGGTCTAGTCTGTATTACACCCGGGTCGGGTTATGTTACTCCTGTCTCATCAATAGCATTTGGAGTATGTGGTGGAATAGCATGTAACTTGGCTGTAAAATTAAAACACATCTTTGATTTTGATGATGCATTGGATGTGTTTGCTGTCCATGGTGTAGGTGGAGTTACCGGAAATATATTGACTGGTATTTTTGCACAAAGAAGCGTTTCATTACTTGGTGGCTCTGAAATTCCAATCGGTGGTATGCTTGATGGTCATCACGTACAAGTAGCTTATCAACTAGCATCATCCGTAGCAGGTCTTGGTTATTCTTTTATCGTCACCTATGTCATACTTTTCATATTAGATAAAATCCCCGGTTTAAATCTTAGACTAGAACAAGAAGAAGAAGAAATAGGTGTTGACGAAACTGAATTAGGAGAGGTTGCTTATTACTTTGTTGATAAAGTAAAAACTTCTTGCCAACAAAAACATGACCAAAAACCGGTGCCAATGCAAACTACCAACCATTATCCAAAATAAAATAACAATATTAACGGGGTACGAACGATGATAAACAACGATTCATAATTATTTATATTTATAAAATATATGTAACATTATATTTATTCATGTACTAATATTTTTATTACAACAATATTAATTTTTTTTGAAAAAGTAAATATGGTAAATAATAATAAAGTATAGGGTATTAATTAGGTATATACAAATAATTGGAAAAGCTTTGATATGATTTAGAAAGGGAAGTTTTTTTAAACTAAAAAGCCAATCTCTAAAAAATCCTCTTGGTTATGAGTTGGTTGTTCAATAGCATTCGTATTAAATTAATAAATTTTTTTTGGATTTGTTAAGCAAGTCATAAAGTAATGAATTAATAATATCATTATAATCGAATTTAATGAACCAAAAATTAAACTTTGCGATCCTAATATAACCCAATTATTTTCGTAACACGGCAATATTTCAAACAAAAATTTTTAACAAGAACTTCAACTTTCGTTGATTCATCAATTCATCCACTGATTCAACTTATTAAATATTTTTTACTTCTTTGTCGGAAAATCCATCATCATCTACAGTATTATAAAGTCAAAAAATAAAATAAATTTTTTTTGAATATTAAATATAAATTTTATAAACTTAATTATTTATTATAAAAAAAAAAGAAAATATATATATCGTTATTTTAAGCAATCTAAAAATATAAAATATAAATTGTATTATTATTATTGTTCGTATTATTATTATTATCATCATCATTACATATTCCTCTCTTTTTTTCTACTCGTTTTTAATTTGTTTCCTTTGAATTCTTTCTTTAGTTCTAACATTTAAAAAAAAGGAAATAGAAAAGCCTGCAGAAACTTTATTATCGTCTCCAACATATTGAAACGTTGCAGCACTTTGAAAAGATAGCGCCTCTTGTTCTTCTCGTATTTCTTCATCATCATCGTCATCATCATCATCAATTACATATATATAAATCATCATTTTATCAATAATAATAACAACAATAATAATAGTTTTTATTTTCAAAAAAAAATTATTCTTTTAGTATCAATTATTTATGTAATAATAATCTATGAAAAAAAAAAAAAAATATAACGTGAAAAAATAAATAAAATACGATTTGAAATAAAACCTCGTATAAAATATTTTTTATAAAATAAATCAAATCGTTTCTTTTTTATATATATACGCGATGGTAATAAAAAAAAAAAAAAAAACAAAATATTGTTATGAATTTAACACACTAATATAAGAGAATATAAAGTAAATTGAATATTCACCTTCATAACTCATCATGTCGTCTTTATAATATATAATTATATAATTAAAGATTATGTAATAATAACTTATAATAATAACAATAACAATAGTAATTACTTACCACCTGATTCATCCTCGCTAATATTTTTAATATAAATCCATCCTTCATCCAAAGGACAATCAACTTTTTTATTAACTTGATTTTGAAATTGATTTTGAAATACTGAAAAGGTATTTATATTATCATTACTATGGTCCAAAGTATTATGATTAATATCACCAATAACATAATTAACAGTATCAGTAACATTATGACTAATATTATCATTATTTGATTCTAATAAAGTCGATCCTTCTAGTTTTTGTAAATTTTCAGATATTGTTCCTTCCTTCTCCTCTAATAATGCCACCGCCTCCTTATTTTCTTTTACAAATTCCATTCGTTCTAGAGTTCTCTCGATTTCTTCAGGCATTTTTGCTAATCTTTCATCTTTGCCATTTTCATCTTTCTGTTCCGTTGTTAATAATTCTTTTTCGTCATTTTTTCCTTCTCCTGGTTGTTGAATGCAATCAACTTCTTTTGTCATTGAAAAAAGATCTTTGTTCTCTTTTTTATCACAACCAATTATTTGAGACTCTTTGGTTTGATTTCCATTTTGATTAGATACGTTATCTTTATTTCTGTTATTATCGTCAATAGTATCTTTATCATTATTGTTATAGTTATAAGTATCGGTGTTATTGTTGGTGGTGATCACCTTTCCGATTGTTTGTTCAGGTTGAGTATTATTAAAATTTCTTTTAAGGTATTTTTTCTTGCATAATGGAACGTTGTTACTACCACTACCGCTATCATCATTATTATTGGTGAATTTTTGTAAAGCTGATGTAAAATATTTATTATAATCTGGATTTTTACTCATAATAATAATAATAATAATAATAATAATAATAAAATAATAGTAATGGTAAAAAAAATATTAAAGTAATTGAAGAAATAATAAATTTTAATTTATTTATTTTTATAACATCATCATTGAAAAAAGTTTAATACAAATTTATCATACTTTTCTATAGGTTATGTATTATTTAATACAATTACTTTGTTAATACATCATCATTTTCCTTTTTTTTCTCTAGTCATCATATTTTCCTTTTTTATATATATATAGTTTTACTCTCGACGCGCAGATTTTCTTCAATTGTTGTATAAAAATAGTAATAATTGTCGTCGTACGACGAAGGAGGAACGACAGACAGATATCGTAAACAAAGATGGACAAAATGGCCAACAATTTATATATAATTGAAGAAAAGCTCTCGTGGGAGAAAAAAAAATAAAGGACTTTAATGTTTATGAAGTGATGATAGTAAATTAACAAAAAATTACCGAAAACTTCAAAGTATCATTAATTACGTAAAGTTAGTTGTCGACGTCACTACATTACAAGTCTTACATATTTGTTCTTTATTTCTCATGATTTTTACCTTGTTCTAACCTAATATGTTAAATTTGTTTCAATTCCAATTTCCAAAAAAAATTTATCATCAAACTTTGATAATTGATTGATATAATTGATAAACATAAATTTTTTTTTCTCTCATGAAAACTTTCTTGTAAAAACTTTTGATAAAAAAACTTTTTTTTTTTTTCTCATAAAATAAACTTTCTCATAAAAACTTATTAATTCTCAAACTCAAAAATTAACAAAAATTAAAAATTTTTTTTCCAACAAATTTCAGCGAAAATTTAAATATATAAAAATAAATTCCATCACAAAAAAAAATGTCAGTAATCGGACTGATAGTCTTTCTATTTAACTCTATACTATTACCCTTATTACCCGTTGCTGCTGTTTATCTTATACTTTCAAGCAAAGTGAAGAAAAGAAGCATTGGTACAAATACAGATATTAAAACGTTTCGCGATGTTGGCATACAAACAGATCCCATTGATTTATCATTACTTTTTTCTCCTCTGAAACAACAACAACAATCACAACATGATGAAAGGTTGTCATCACCATCATCAACGCCATCATTATTATCTATAATCAACATTGACAAACTTCAAGTTGTCGAATCATTATCGTCAAAAAATATTAAAGTATTTGGGTCATCATCGTCAAGCAACATCGAAAAACCTCAAGCAATTGAATCATATGATTCGTCTACCGAAACTGTCCTTGAACCTGCTGTTGTTGTTGATTTTATAGTTGAAATAACAAATAGTAATGTTGGCCCACACGTTGAATCAATTGTTAACAATAATCCAGAACCAAAAAATGAAGTCGATAATATTATTTCGAGCGAAACAAATATTAATAATGATTATAATAATAGCGGTAATGCCAATAATTCAAACTTCGAAACAGTTGCTAGTAACGATCCAAAACCAAAAAAGGAAGTTGATGATATTTCCAGTGAAAGGAATGACAATGATGATCCAGAACCAAAAAAGGAAGTTGGTAGTGTTGTTATTTCTAGCAGTGATATATCAAGCACATTGATAGATTTAAACATTGTAGATGACAACGTTACAGAACAAAACTTCCCACCACATATCAACAACTTCAACTCCGAATTGGAATCAGTATCGGATATTAATGATATTAATAAATCTATTATTGAAGACAATGTTGACTCAAACTATACCATTGCTCCAATTGTCGTTGATAATGAAATCGAAGCCAATGAATGTAACAGCGCAACAATTGCTTCAATCATTGCTGATAATAAAATAGAAAGTGATGGATTTAACGATTTAACCAATTTTATAAAATCTGGTAATGACGAGCTAAATCGAGAAAGTTTTTTAATGATGTTGCAGAATGCACAGTTTGAACCTGAAATCATTACAAATAGCAATGTTGTAAATAATTTTGTAAATAATCTTGTAAATATCAATTTAACTGTTGACACAGACTCGAATAAAAATTTAAATTGCTCAAATGTTGATTTCGGTTTATCTGCTGTTGTAGAAACATCTTCAAATGAAAAGGAATACTTTATACCCAGCGAAAACGAGGGCAACGATGGCAATCCAAATACTGAAATTAATGTTGAAATGATCAGTAAATCTTCGAAAGACGCTTGCGATGCACAGGATTCAAATGATCATCATGAAACTGCCAATTTTGAACATGAACTAAGTTCAAGTGGTGGTGATTTATGCAACAATAATGATGTTACAGGTGCAATGATACCACAAGAGACCAGTGACGACATTGATATGGCCAATAGTGGCTCTAATAACAAAGAAGAATCCAAAGTTGAGAATATTAAAATTGAAACGATAATAGTTAAAGAAGATTACCATCAGGTACCATCTTATCAATCAGTTAATGATGAAATAAATGATAATGAACTTCGAGTGGGTTCAACTGATCAATCTAACAATGAAGATTGGTTAAAAAAAGCTGCAGAATTTGTGTAATAAAGCTAGTCAGCCATGGTTGGCTGCATGCATAAGTGGATTTTTTTTATATGATGAAAAAGGTGGG